CGTGATGGGAATCACGGTGTGACTTTATAGTTAATTATTTAAGTATAACTGGGAATATTGTTGTACATTCCCATCTAAAGCTGTGATTTCAATGCAATTTGAATTGGCTGAAATTTCATGCAGATAGACTAAGAAGAACTAGGCTCTCATTGACGACCTCCGTTGTCGATTGGCTCGCACACCGGTTTTAACGATGTCGCCACCTCTGGGGTTTCTGCACTGTCTCGGATCTGGGTGTTAGTGGTACCATCGTTGTTTCCGATTTCCATAATCCAAGTGCTTTAGTTACTTACTTCGGAATCGTAGCAACGTATGTGATGTTGTCTAATATTTATTTATTTATCACGACACACCCTTAATCTAGATACACATCATTCTGCATTTACTTTATTTCGGTCCCTAGATGTAGTTAATACCAGCCAATAAACCGCACCAATTATAATATGGTGTCAGAGTAGAGATTTCTCTGTAGGTGCAATGAATACCAGAGCAACGAAATTAACTCCCAGATTATACAGATTCCTGGGTGATACCCAGAAAACCCAGACCGGGACAAATTTAGGAAAGTTTGTTTCTTTAAAATTCTTTCTTACTCATTCCCTGTCTGCAGATTTCTTTCCTGAACGGTGTAACTTGAGTCGTTTCAAGACGTGTAAGTAGAGCCTTTTCAAGACGAGACGATTTATTTAGGTGAGCATGTTCCATCGTTGGCCTTATCATCACTTTCCATGAGATGAGATGGAGGTCAAATATATTTTTAAATAAAATAAAGTCTAATCTTTTACCTATGTTTTACATATACTTGCAATCTGTATTCTATATTAATGATATACGTCAAATTTACGGAATCGAACCAAGCTCCTCCTCATTTAGCGCAATGCAGACCGTCGGGCCACCGAAATCGTCAATTTACACTTATCCCTTCGTATAACAACGTATAGCTTCATGCCTTCTACATTTAACTCCCCCGTCAGTAAACCAACATCGTTTAGCAGTTTAGTCGAGTGCAACTCGCCTCGTGTGACGCAGTCCCTACTTGGAAATGTACGTTTGATTCCACTTACTGCTTCTGCACAGTTTACATGCCTCTGGTATTGCAAAGTTACTTTTGCTATTGCAAAAAAGTTTAAACTAGAACTTTGTTTGTGAATGTGGATAAAACTTTCAACATAATCCTAAAAACGATTGCAAACGTAAGTTGGTGATGTTATCCTTTAGAGGGTAAAATATTTCTCTTTTTTTTTTATATTCAATTTAAGATACCTAAGTCAGGAGGTTTGCCTTTTTCATCAGTATTGTTAGCACTTACAAGTGTTTGTTCACCTCTATTAAAGGAAGTAGGGAATGTTAGCCATAATGTAGACTCAAATTGCAAGAACAGTGTTTGAAAAGTTTGTGCGGATATGATATACATGGATGCATAGATGCTAGAAATAATCAGTATTATATTTTTATCCGTTACTATAGGATCCGTAAAGAACCCAAAACATATTGTTATTTTTACACATACATGCGTAATCACAGAGATTCATCGTTATTAAAACTCGAAGACATTAAAAAGAATAAGTTCCAAAACAGACCCATGAGAGACTTAAAAAAATTTAGACTAAATGTTATGGTATACATTAAAAATGGGCATAAGATACCCCCTTGAAGAACTCCTATTGCAAATTCAATTGCAAAAGTTTCACTTTGATAATATTATTGGGAAACAAAAGAGCGACATGCAGCAGCATGTAAGACGAGTCTGCGTGGATTGCGTGCCTATCCGGCGGAGTAGGAGTCGGTCTTATTAAGCGTTGAGTACAGGGTGTTCCCGACTCAGAAAGGGGTTATTGCACTCTTGGAGCTTGTTTTTATTGGTGTCCCATTGGTTACATGAGTTAAAAGGTCCAGACTTAATAAGCAGGGACGTTAAGACGCTTCACCAAAATCTTCGACGTGAAGAAATTTGCGCTTTGTCAAAAATTACATGTGAATTTGAAGAGCGTGTAACTTTGGACAAAAAACCTTTGCGTGAGTCTGCAGTGCCCAGTGACAGAGTGCAAAGCGTTACTTCTTGTGACTGCTAGAGGCGCTTACAATTTGCCTTGTAAAATTGTAAAGTATTTATCCAGTGTTTAGGTTTTCGCGCTTGTCGATTCTAACTATACTGCTCAAAAATGTGTAGGGATCGAACGCATATAAGAATTCATATAATACTAATCTCTAGAGGCATTTGATGTGTGTATTTGTTTCGTCTATTTTTATATGGTCACGTCTCATGGTCAGTCAGCCGTGATCATGGTACATGCAACGGGATCGAAACGTTGGTTTCTTTGAAAAAATAAAAAACAAATATTCGTTAGACTATTTTATATGCTATCGCTTGCGACATCTGCCACTGTTAAGTCATGGTGAACGTCTGCCAAGGGTAGAAATTTCCCTCTTTTAGAGAGAATATCTCATGGAATACATCGAAGTAAATTAGTTTCATTTCTAAAAAACCCTTCAGCGATAATGTGCCACATAATCAAACCAATCACTTCTAATAATCAAACTATCACAGGAAATTGCCCTGGTACACCAGGAGTACCTGAGTATAGAAATAAATCCAGACCATAACCAATTCATTAAAGTCCTTTTCTTAATTTCTAAAGCTCGGAGTTTCTCTGAATGATTCCTATCCTTCGAAATGAGGTTATCCGACAGAGAACCAAGGTCGTTGACATAGCTTCTAGCAAACTAAAGTGGCAGTAAGCTAGCCATATCTTTCGAAGAATCGATAACCGATGGGGGAAACGAGTTCTTGAGTGAAGACCACGGCTCGGCAGACGTAGTGTAGGACGCCCTGTGGCTAGATGAAGTGTCGCTCTATGAAAGTCTGCTAGCAGCAGATGAATGCGACAAGCTGAGGACCGGACGAAATGTCGCATATTATATACCTCCAGCAAAGGACTACGATAGGCTGATAATTATGATGTCAATTTTATTCGGGTTCTATTCTCGGCAGGACCAATTTGGGAATGAACTTTTATAAATTGATTCTAGTTTGAGTGTTACGGATTAGTACCTCGGAGAGTGTTATTTTATCGAGTATAGAGACGTTGACTTCAACGTCTAATACCCACAGCAAGCAACGGTAATCGTCAATTCAGGAACAAGTGCAAGACACAAATATAAAGTTGTAAACAGCCTGTGCAAAATAACTGCACAGCACACTGTCGTATTTACGCACACAACAATTTATACGTATTTATACGTGACCTACAGTACGCCGTCTGACATTTAACACGGTTTAGACAATACTGTAAATACCGCACGGAAAATGAACCGAAATAGATCTGCCTTCCGGCAACCGGCTTGAAAGTAACTATGCGTATATTCATACATTTGGAAACCCTTTGGAGTTAATAGAAACTGACGCCACTTCGAACAAATCTGATGTGTCTCTTCCTTCAGCAATCTTTTATACAAGTCTTCCATTCTTCTCACTGTGCACTACAACCATTTTAACAAGTTCAAACGCTCTTCGTGGCAATTCTCTTCCATTGTTGCCTTCCATTTTGGTTCTGTATGTATTTCTTTCGCTGCAAAAGCGAAATAGTCCGCCATTCATCATCAAATTGTAGAATTGTCACCATCCAAACCAATATTATAAATGCGAAAGTGACTCTGTTTGTCTGTAACGTTGTCACGCTAAACCACTAACCAATTTTAATGGAATTTGATATATAAATAGATGGGATCTAGGAGAAGGACAAGGGCTGTTTGTTACAGAAATAAATCTTAAAAGGGGGTGAAATAGGGAATGAAAGTTTGTATGATAAACTATTAAAACTTTGAAAATTAGTGTAGTACAGTGGGTTACAAGGACTACTTATTCTATGCAGACATTTAAGTTACAAACAAGAATTTGGCGTTAGTTTTACAATGCAAAGTTCCACCGATGCCTAGTCAACCAAACAAACAAACAAAAAGTGTCCCTACTACAAACAACAAGTACCAGGCGAGCATAGCCCGCGAGAAGCAATAATTTATTGGCTAGCGACACGGCTAATGCAGCTGACTGATAGCGGTGCAGCGATATGATACCATGATGCGGCTAAGTGCGATCGCTTGTATCCCGATACCGGGGGGATTCGTACGGTGACATCCTCGCCGATCATGGGAGCCTAGTAACATGGCTTTTTCATTATGTGTTAGTATGTGTTTTTAAGATTTAAAATCCCTTGAGATTTGGTAAAAAAATACACTAATACCAGCAGTGGAAAAAGTATAAGGTGGAAATTGAGTTATAGTGAGTTTTGAGATAATAATTCTAGATTTCTAAGAAAAGGTTATTAGGTTCAAACTCCAGGTATCGACTATATTTGTTTTTGTTTTCGGCTAGTTACCTTTTGCTTTTAAATTCTAGTCCCAAACTTCAGCCTATCAATCTGTCTAGCTGTCACTCATCTGTCAAACTGTCCAATTTAGTCAAGTGGCTGTCATTTTTGGTGATAACAGTTTTATATTGCAGTTTATCTACCGTGATACTGTTGATACATTGTCTTAAGATTAGACTTGAAAGTAGTTTGTAGACGATAATAATGTACATTAGTTGCGAAAAGTGGTTGTATTAGTTAAGAAATTGTTTATCAACTCTAGTGTCAGAAGAGGGATCTATCTTTTATTTTAAAAATTATTATGGTTAGTAAACAATGTAGGTACCGTTAAAGAGTTGAAAAATTTTTCTAATATGTATATAGGTATATATCCAATCACCTATTCATCTATGACATCCTTTTTCATCCAAATTTCGTCTGTTTTCCATAATCTTAATTCTGTTTCCCTAAATTTTTGATTGGCTAAATACGAAGGCAAAGCCATTAAAAAAAGTGATATTTGTAATCTAATAATACGCTTTAGCATATCTACCTGCCAAATGTTGCTTTATTTTGATATGTATAGTTGCTATAGCACAATACATGCACATTTTACTGCCAGCAGAAATCAAAGACAACTTTTCTTTGTTACAGATGCCATGGGTGAGTACAACAGCAAGACAACAGGAAGCCACATAAATCATGGAATGCCGTAAAAAGATCGTGTTAACAAAAATGGCAATCTTCATAAAACTCTGGAAAATAATTATGGCGGCCCGTGCTCGCGCTTTTTTACGCAAAATAAGTCAATCGGCCAACACTAGGAGTCCGGAGATTCGCCTCGCGTCGTAAACTTTGATTAGGTCATTAAAGCATACTAATTTATTAACCTTCGAACAACTCTCATTTGCCGTAAATACACAAAAATGGCACATAAAACTGAAACGTTAACGCTCACTTTCGAATGCTTTTCCGGAAAGCTTTTATGGTGTTTTAAATCGTTCGAGCGCGTGTAATCGAAAATCACCTTTGCTGTAATTATCGGCGTAGAATCGTGAACCAGAGCTAAATTTGGTACAAGAATAACCTAGTTTAAGATGTTTTTTTAAATTAAGTATTCATTTTAAAATTAACAAAAATTTTTAACGACAGAAAATTTTAATTTCAAATTGGAATATGGAATTTAACAGACGCTGTCAAGATTGAAGTATCCAATTCAATTTGAAAAATCATCGTTTTCTTTTTTATATTTGTATTCAAAAAACGGCGTATACGTTTGACGTTCTGCATTAAATGAATTAAATTGAAACAATATCAATCGGACACGGGAACACACTCAGGCAGTCTCGTTTTGTTATTTATCATAAAATGTGGACGCTTCAGTGGAATTGATCTGCTAGCTTTGTTTATCGCCCTTAGCGAGACAGAGATAAATATGGGTTCTTTTTAAAAATACAAAATCTTATTTAATTGTTAACTGAGTTTTACCTAACCTCCAATGAGACATTGAAACAATAATGGAACTTGCAGGACGTTTTCCTTTAATACTAAATCGTCTTCAACTGCAAAATTTCTTGATTATGAATCTTCTGAATCTGAATTTATAAGGTCAACTACATTCGTCAAATAATCAGTTAGAAGATAGTAGTAGTATAATAGGAGAATGCTTGCTGACCGGGCACGATGTCGCAGCGCGAGGTCATCGATTAATTTTCTACTGCCACGGCTATATATTATATACCTTACAAATCTCTCTCATTCCCTTAAATTCATCAATCTTTGCATACAATCCTTCATATTCTTCTCACTACTTCTCGACTTGGTCTTAGAATGTCCTTCGTAACCGGCCTTTAAAAACGATGCCTTGCACTTTGTTTCTATATTATATCTCTTTCGGCACGATTATTTCTTTCATTCGCTCTATGTGCCCAAACCACCTCAACACTCCGTTCTCTATTTTTGTTTTGATAGTTGTTTTTCTGCACCAGCTTTCCATTAATTCAATTTCCTTTTTTTGTTTTTCACAAATTTTCTTTAACAGAAAAAGCAGATTTAAGTTCTTCAGAAATTATATCGCCATTGTTTATTTGCTAGCCAGTAGATTTGTTAGATATCGTTTTGTATTAATTACAATTGTAATGGACTTCGTTGCTTTGTAGGCGATTGGCATCAGTATAATCAGTATTTCTCATTACCAGGACGTAATAAGCTATTTCATATTGTTTCAAGACGTAAACGATTTTTGGGGCCAGAAGATTATTTTATTTCGTGAGAGAACTATTAACTGCCCCCATGGCGGAATGGTTAACACGCTAGTCTGCCACTCATAGGTTCCGGGTTTGACTGCCGGGACGAGAGAAATATTTGTGTGACCTGTATTTATTTCTCTCATGAATTTGGGTGTAATTTGTGGTTGTCTACGTGTGTGTCCATGGCACCCGCGATACAGGGTTTCCCTAGTGCGAGGCTATGTTGATTGTGAGCGTTATTATTATTATTATTATTATTATAATCCCATGTGCCTGTAATTTCACCAGCACTCTTACCCTTCAACACCGGAACGCAAAAATGCTCACATTATTGCTTGGCGGCAGAAGAAGGTAAGTATTGTTAATAAAATATAATGCGAATTAGATGCGAAACAATTATGTAAATAAAATATTATCTATAATCATCACCGTTATCCAGAGCCCTGCTTTACGCCCTGGTTTAGGCCTCCTGTAGTTTACGCCATCCACCACGTTTTTATACGAGTCTCATCCACCTACAGCCTGCAGCTTTGACGATATCGTAATAAACATAATCGATCCAACGACTAAACAATAACAATCACACACAAAAACAACAGCTACTTAGCCATTGTCTTCTAATCTACAACCTACAAATTTAAAAAAAATGATTGATAGTCTAACTCGGGAACAGTAATAACCGAAATGATACAAATCGATATATATCAGCGATGGTAATTATAGAACGATCGATTATTTACGATAAATATTGCCGCTGGTGCTCTAAGGTCTTTAAACCTATGCTTTGAAGTTGAAGCTGCAACCACAGTGATTCTTTATTATTAATAGTCTAAAGGGATATATGACTCTCTCATTCCTGTTGTTGAGAGGGGAGTATTGTCCAGTCGATAAGACGTGTAAAGGTGCGATGACGATGTTTTTGTAGCAGTAAAGCTACTTGTGAAAGATTTCGTCGAAGGAAGTATTGCCACATTACTTATTTCTGCCGCCAAGCTGTAAGAGCATTACTGTATTTCTGTTTTGAAAGGTAAGGATGCTGGCACATGGGACTGAGTGACACTGAAACTGTTATGAACAGGCGTGTCGCTTACTATTAGGCCCACGACTTGTTCATTCCGTCACTTGGTAACATAAAAATGTAACTATTTACTATTAATAGTCTGAAGAGATATATGACTCTTTCGTTTCTCTTGTTGATTGGACAATACTCCCCGTATTGTCCAATTGATAAGACGTGTGATGGCGATGATGATATTTCTGGAATTATAATAGTAATGTTATTTATTTTCAACTGTAACTTTACAGTAAGAAATTTTATAAGTAAAGTTATTACAAGATCCATGACTGTGTAAAGGGTTAATTGCCTTGCATAATCAAGTTTACGTAGCACAGGGAAACAACTAAGGATTTAAAAAACAAATATAATAAAAATTATAACTTTCTTTATAAAAAAAAACTGACCTTAAACGTTTGTGGATTTACATCTATTTGCCAAGTTGTATCGAATTCGGTTAACGGAAAGTGGGTGAAAGCCAATAAACCAAATTGATCCCCAGATTTGCCATCCTTAGAAGTAGAATATTTTCTTTAAAATTAAATTTGGTACTACACTACTGAGGTTCCCCCTTTCCAACAAAAACAAGAATCATCAAAATCTGTTCACAAAGAATATTAATAACAACGCACACACTCACAGCCCTAGGCAAACCCCTCTGTACCATGGACACACATAGACAACCACAAATTACACCCCAACTCAGACAACACAACACAACACACCAAACAACACAGTCAAAAGACATAAATGTAGGCCATACAAATACTCCTCCCGGCCCGGGAACTGAACTAACTGCCTCCGTGGCCGAATGGTAACCGTTTGGCCACATAGGCAGCTGAAAAAATGTGAGACGTGTCTGCCGGGTCAAATTAACAAATCGTAAACCATACCAATGCTGCCACGTAATTTATTTTAACCAATGAAAAACTTAGTGTCCTGTTCACTCTGAGACGTAAGTTGATATGTACTGTGTGCGTATAATTTCACCAGCAACCTTATCCTTCAAAACCGAAACGCGGTAATGAAAAATAGATAAAGTGGCAGTACCTACTTCCCTGGACGAATTCTTTCACAAGGAGTTGTGCTGTTATCTGTACTGTGATATTTGACCTTAATTATCTCAGGTCATAGATTAAAATTCATTATTTGGGCTTAATCATAACATGTAGCCTTGTATTTTCTATTCCAGTTCCAAATTTCACGCATATTGGTTTAAGAGCGGCTAACTACTTAATTTCGTTCGTAGATTATGTAATTCGAGTGGATACTAAAAAAGCTTCGCAAGCTGCGCTTCGAGAAAAAATAAAATCCTCATTACCAGTGAATGACAGACAGCAAAAGTGATGCTTATTACAAATATGCGTTTAATTAGTATACTGTGTTGAATGAAGGTAATTGTGCGTTAAACAAAGTATTAGCTCTAATTGTTGCAAATTACAATTACGCAAGATGACAGTTGTGATTGCACGCTGTCAGATTGATGTACGATTAGCCCTACTCAGTTTGAATAGCGTGTCGTACAACATCCATTATTAAGTCAAAACAAACAATTAAACCTCTACTTTCATCATAATACCAACAAATCCACGTAGAGGACTTATTATTGTGTCAACTTCGTGTTGTCCCAAAAAAATAACCTAAAAAACTACAAAACACTTCTCAAACACCATTTTGACACTTTCGGCAACGACCCAATCGTGTTCAGATTCAAATTTCGAACAGAACATTCAAGATGGCGACCTTCGCAAGTCGTATATCAATCGTGATTTACGCTCCACGGTCGAGGTCGACGACCGCCCGAATTTCGTTCAGAAATGCACTCGCCGAGTAATTTATTTGTGACCATCTATTATTTTGTAGACTCACGAGGTCCTAAACGCAGCTGACATTAATATATCATTTTACGCGACGGCGGGCTTACAACATCGCTATCTCGTTTACACATACGTGTTTTAAGTTTGTCGGAAAAGGACAGATATTTAGGGGCAGAGTAGTTTGCGTTTTCACTTTTTATAGTAGCAATATATTTGATCAGCTGATCGTCATGACGTTTACTGCTCGTGAGCCAGTGTGTAATGTTTTTCATAATTTATATTATAGTGGTTTTGTGTTTTTATTCAAGTTGTCGAGGTCATGGTTTATTTTTATTGTTGAATATTTATCTAATAGCAATATTTGACTGCTGTTGGCCCGACGATGTGTTTTAGCGCTTGTGGTTTTTGGATAATGGCTCTACAATTAAAGTAAATGCGTGATTTATGAACGTGTCGGTAACAATTGGTTGGAAGCGTGTTGGGAATTAAATTCTTTGCGATCATTAGGAGCTATACCCATTCAGAACAAATATTGATGATTTT